AGGGAGATGATCTGGTGGGCGTTGCGGTCAAAGTTGGTACCAGAGACCTACGTGGAAATTGTACGTGACATGTACCGCAACTCCGATTCAATAGTCAGGACCGCTGTTGGTGATACCACCCCCTTCCCCATAACCATAGGCGTGCATCAGGGCTCCGTTTTAAGCCCCTATCTCTTCAGTGTGATATTAGACGAACTGTCAGCCAGCGTACAGAAACTACCGCAGCCTTGGCTGCTTATGTACGCTGATGATATCGCACTGGTAGATGGGGACAAAGGACGGCTCACCAGACGCGTGCACGCATGGAGGGAGGCGCTTGAGAACGGCGGGCTGAAGCTAAACGTGGCGAAGACGGAGTATATGCCCTGCAACAGCACAGATCTGATGTCTCTCCGTATAGGCGACGACACCGTCGAGCACACGGACAACTTCAGGTACCTCGGATCTGTGCTTGATGCGTCCGGTGACATCGATCGCGACATCAAGGCCCGTATATCAGCGGCTTGGGCGAAATGGCGCGAGGTGACGGGTGTCATTTGTGACCCCAAAATGCCGGTCAAGCGGAAGGGACAGGTCTATAAGACCATCATAAGGCCTGTCCTTACGTACGGCAGTGAGGCGTGGCCGGTGCTGGAGCGACACCGGTAGTTGTTGCATGTCACGGAGATGAACATGCTGCGGTAGATGTGTGGCGTCACGCGGAATGACCGTGTACGGAATACATACATTCGCGGCAGCCTCCATGTCTGTGACATTGCTGACAAGCTGCAGGAAAGTCGCCTCCGCTGGTACGGCCAAGTCTTACGACGACCAGCAAGCTACGTGGGAAACAAATGCCTGGACATGACCTTACCTGGTACCAGGAGTAGAGGACGGCCCAAGAAACGCTGGCTTGATGTCGTGCAGGATGACATGCGCGCCAATGGGCTAGTTGTGAGGGACGCCGAAGACCGGGCAAAGTGGAGGAGGAAGTGTTGGAAAGCTGACCCTGGGTTCTCCCGCGCTGGGCGGGATGAGCAACCGGGATAAACGCTAGGTAGAAGAAGAAGAAGGGAAGTTTCGTATGGTGAGTGTAGAGAACCGGAGACCCTTTTTACTGGAAAAGAGGCATTCAATCTTAGTCCTCACGACTGACAACGTATCTGCATTTTAATTCGCAAACGAAGATAGATGTAGATGTGTATGGGCCGCAGCAACCACTTACCATCAGGTGGACTATGTGCTCGTTTGTCATCCTTATTCTATAAAAAAAATTTACAGTAACTCAAGTACAGTTACATGTGAATGGTACTCAACGAGTATAGTATTCATTACAGCAATCATTACATTTACATATATTAAAAAAAAAACTATAAAAGGACGTTGACATCGATGTGCACTTAAGCAAATTTAAGACATAACAATATGTTTGTACAAAAACTATCGTAATTTTAAATAAGAAAAGGTTTATTACCATAAATAAATTTAATTGTGTGTGTAAAAAAAAATAGATACAAGATTGTTTACCATACATATAAAAGTAATAGATTTATTTAAAAAACTAGCCCTGCACTTGAAATTTCTCCTGCATCGTAAATGCATTTTACAATATAATAGAATAGAATATTTTTTATTCAATATTGATTATTACATAATACTTATTGAAAGTCATTATTTTATTTACCACTGGTTCGGAAAATACCTCTGTCCTGGGAAAAACCAGCAAGAAACACAGCGGGACCTTTTTTTTTTAAACATAATTTCACTTAACAATAATTTTGTTTATACAATTTTAAATGTATTTTAATAGAACGAGCATGGTGGCGCTCACCTTATTCCCAATACATTCATACTCGTAAGTTATAGTTGGATCAGAAACCTTTATTTGTAGGCGAGCAAGATTCGAACCTGTGACCCAAATGTTTGCAGTCGAACATTTACTAACTCCACTACCAAGCGTTCCGAACGATTTTCTACCGACTTCAAAAAGAAGAAGGTGCTCAATTCGATTACATGTTCTTTTTATGTGTGTTACCTCTTACGTTTTTCTGGTAAGAACCGATTTCGATGTTTTTTTTTTATTTGAAAGCTGGTGCTTCTTTGTGGTCTCATATAAATTTGATCAAGGTCTGACCAGTAGTTTTTGAGTTATTCTTAATAATTTATGTTAAAGTCGGTTATACAACATTTTCAATTTTAAATTATTATTTACTTCCCATTCATGGATATTTACTGATGAGTATCTATTGATGCTAATTGCATTTTTGAGTTCCATAGTATGATAAGAACATGATGGCTAGTCTTCGTTAAGACTGGAAATGCAGATGTGTTGTCAACCGTGAGGACTAAGATGGTTAAGATAGATGGGATCGTTTCAAGTAAAAATGGTCTCCGATTCTCTACACTCACCATACGAAACACAGCAGCATTAAGCTGCTGTTTTACGCTGGTATACTGTGAGAGCGTGTTCCTACCCCGGTGCCATTCGTAGTACAATGTACTACAAGCATCATATAGCTGCAGCGTGGCTCTACTACATAAAATGTAAGTTGCGTTTTAATAAAAGTTCTTCGGTTTCTAGTTTATGTTTATATACAATACAATACGTGAGAGTGTTGTATATTCTTTAATTTTTACACATTTTTACTTTTAAGAATCTCCGTAGTTTCCCAACCTTTGTTGAAACTTTTATTATATCTGTTCATTATATCAATGTAATGTTTGTTAGTGCTTTGAACTCGGCACATTAAACAATATTTCGTTTGTTCTTGTCGTCCGTTATAACAATATAGCGACCGATGTCCCCCACTTTGTCCATTAAATAACAAATTATTCGGCCGTATACACTGGCCAAATGACATTGACAAAAACTGTCTTGGAACAGCAAGGCTATATAGCGAATTCGTATGTTTCAGACGCATTATTTTAACAAGTCAAAATAATTAAAGAGTCAAAAATGTGGTTAAGTCGCATAAGTAAGTTAAATCGATCGAATCGAAATATTCGAAAAACAAATTTCATACATACTAGATTATTATAATAATCAGAGATTTTTTATTACAATATTTTAAAAGCACAGAATAAATAATAGTAGTACGTACTAAAAGTAAGTAGGATGTAATATTTATACTTAAATACGTCTTAGATTTTATGGAGTGACATGAATGATTATATGATGATCATATGAGCATTACGAGTCGTGCACTTTTGGATTTTCCAAACGTTTTTCAAATTGAAGTTTGACATAAAAATTATCAGAAAATTGGAAGTACAATAAGGTTATTAATGAAATCTTGTGTGTATTTAAACTACTTTAAAAAAATCCGTATAATCATGTTATACGTAATTTTTTTTAATGCGATTAGGGCATGCTCAATTGGATTTACCAATAGTTTTTCTGTTTTCTTATTTTGAAAACATTATGTACCTACATATTTTCGTATTGTTATTTTTCAAACATTTACATGTTTTAGTTTTCTTAATTCTAAAATAATTAATCAATAATTATTATTTTCTAGAAAATCATGTTTTTTTATAATTTCCGTTTTTAGAGGCTTGTTTTCTCCACCTCATAGCAAACAAGTACTTTTCTTTACGTGTTACGTGAAGCTGCCCTTGAATCAAATGTTACCAATTCACTTTTTTATTGTATTTCCATTTATGCCACCATTATGAACAACTATTACTGTGGCAACAACTAACAAACTATGAACATTTTATCGCGGGTGAATGACCTTTTAACTATGTACTAACAAATGTTTACGGCGTGCGTACATACAAACGTACATTACAAAATGTATTGTGATATAGGGAATATGTCATTGAGAAGAGGCGTGTTGCGGCTTCTATAACTTTAATTATACTGTACAACTTAATCTACCTTAACACTAATATATACTATGGTCGTGGGGGGCTGTACCACACTACAGTATATATACATTAAAATAAAATTGAAGTGTGTGTCTGTAATATCGAAATAGCTGCCTTTAATCGAGCTCGTGGTGTTATTTTCCTGCCATTAACATATGAATTACCTTTTGTACCATTTTTGTCTGTCTTTGTGTCCGGGCTAATCTTTGGAATGGCTGAACCAATTGTGATGAAACTTTACGAACATACAGAGAGTAATTTCAAGAAGTGAACTATGCTATATTTTATCTGAAAAACTTGTGTTTTTTTTATAATGGAATAATTGATAAAATAAATGATTATTGATAAGAACTTTAAAAATCTAGCGCCAATTTAATATATTTCACCGGGAGAAGCCGGGGTGTGTCGCTTGTCTGCAATATGTTACAAAAAAAACTTTTTTAAATCTATTTTATTGAAATTTAAGAAATGCTACAAAGGACGTACTTAATGCCTATAGGCAATCTCTACCAGTCAACCCATTAAATGGTGAGATTTTGCCGTGGCCAAAACAGTCATCTTGTTGTCAACAGTCTCATTTTATACGTGGTAGAGCCGTGATGCAGCTATATTATGATTGTATCGTGAATAAGTCGGCTCGACCGGGGAATGAACACGCTGTCACAAAATACATGGCAGCATTATAAGTAAAATAGCAGCTTAATGCTGCTTGTGTTTCGTATGGTGAATGTAGAGAATCGAGAATATATGTAGGTGTCTATGGGCCACAGCATCCACTAACCATCAGGCGGACTGAGTGCTCGTTTGTCACCCTTATTCTATAAGAAAATTAAAAAAAAACTTTCATGTGACACGACTACGCTGCAGCTGTTATAGTTCAAGCAGAGCAACGTTTCGTGGAAAGCACCAGGCCGCGCCCAGAATTTCATTCATTTATTTACTATAGACTATCATAAGTCCACTATTGAATAAAGGCCTCCCCCATAGGTTCACTCATAGAGTGATTATTTGATATAGTTGTCACGCTTGGCAGGTGGTTTAGGGTACCATCAGGTGGACTGTGTGCTCGTTTGTCACCCTTATTCTATAAAAAACGCTCTATGTTCATCAATCGACCGTTCTTCCTGTATGAGAAAACAAATGGTACTCACGTATTCGAACCGGTCCTTGCATAACTGCGCGAGCAGGTGCAGGCAGCCGAGCAGCGTGAACCAGGAGCACCACAGCAGCACCTCGTCCATGTACTGCACGTTCACCACGCCGAACACGAAGATGAACTTGTAGAACACGTAGTTCCAGAACTTGTCCTTGACGCGCTGCGCCTCGGAGACGCGCAGCGTCCCGAACACCAGTCGCTGCACCGCCAGGCCCGCCACGCCCAGCGAGCAGTACGCCATGTTGATCACACTCTGCAACAAACGGGTTCAGTTTAGTTATATGTATTTTATCTTTATAGCCATTCAAATCCACCGCTCAATATAGATCTTCCCCATAGATCACCTCACAATGGAGATATTTGACATAGTTGCCAAGCGGGTTGGCAACCGCAGTTTTATTTTTTATTTTTAGTCGATGTTAATAATATATGCTGTTACTAATCTCCTGATTTGTTTCCCCCTGTCGCGTCTTACGACACCCACGGGATGATGTTGGGTAGTGGATATTCTTACAACGCCATTACACGGTAAATTTTATCTGTGACTCTTTTTAATATTAGTCTAATTGTAAGCGGATACACACACCTACGTATACAAGTCCACTGCTGAAACATACCTCTTTTACACGTGGCAGAACGATTATACAGCTATATTACGGTTGTAGCACGAATAGGTCTACGCGACCGGGGAGGCTCTCACAGAATTACAGCGTAAAATACTAGCTTAATGCAGATGTGTTTCGTATGGTAAGTGTAGAGAACCGGAGACACTTTTTACTGGAAATAATGCATTTCATCTTACTCCACAAGGGTGACAACTAATCTGCATATTGATTCTCAATCGAGGATATACTCGTATGAGCCACAGTATTCACTTACTGACCCTTCTTTAGTCACACTCATTCATAGCCAAAATCCAGATGCGTTTTCACCTCTAAGGACTTAGACGGAACGTCTCGTTATCTCGATCAGGTGTCCGGTTTTCATCACTGACCATCTCCATCACCAAACGAAACTTTTAAATTATTAATTATGTTTTTATTTCATGGTGGTATTCTGTGGAGTTGTGGTGAGTTGGTGCCAGCCCAATCGTACTCCCGTTAAAGTATATTTAAGATCATCAAACATCAACTTTAAAATCATTCACAGAGTCATGGGATTTTCTAACATTCTCTATCTTGCTATATTGCCATAAGGAATTTTCTTTTCCCTTACACACTATGGCCATCTATCACTATCCTATGTTTATGGTTTGCATTAGTACTTTGATAGAAATAAATACTTGTGGGTATCCATTACTTATGTAGCTTTGTTGAAAATTACGTAGAATTCAATACATTATTAATTTTATGAATTAAAATAAACATAAACTTGTGGTGAAAGGCTAAGACAACAACAAAGACAACAAGACGTAGCTAACTGGCGTCTTAGGTAAAACCTACGGTCAACATTAACACAGCAGTTTACTAGATATGCTAGGGCTCTGTTTCTGTCTATGAGGAACCCACATGAACTGGTACCACATTCTGTTGTCTATTACAAAATCCGCCAAAGAGGCAAGCTATGAATGAGTCCGATGTTCAGCAGTGAACTTGTATACGATGTAATTGATAGATGGATGATTTGGTGGGAAGTTGATCGGTGTCAATGGCCCGTAGTAGCCACTTACCATCAAGTGCACTGTTAGCTCATTTGCCAATTGTAATAGTAATTGAAACTGGATTTACATTAAAGTAATTTATAGTTTTACATTAACGTATACTTTACACAAATGTGACTGGTATACGAGGGCTACACTGAAAGTTTTTAGAACTGGCCACTTGTAAACGATGTAATAAAAAAATAAGTTCAAATTTTGAAAATGTAACTCTTTGCCAATATTATTGTGTATGTATTTTATTAATTATCATTTGTTTACGATTTGGCGGCAAATTGAAAATTGTTTGTTACGTCAGCATGAACTTAACAAGAAAAAATTTTCGTACAATGATTTTTTATGACTTTCGATGTCATTTAAGTCAACAAGAAAGTTATGATAGACTTCGATTGGCCTTTCACGGTGAAGCCCCATCTCGTGCCACTGTTTACAACTGGTTTAATGAGTTTAAACGTGGTCGCACTAATCTCACCGATGATCTGTGTGAGGGATAGCCTTCTACGGTGACGACTGAAGATAACATCAGTGTTGTGCGGCGTATAATGGAGTTTTTTTTTTTTATAGGATAAGGGTGACAAACGAGCACACAGTCCACCTGATGGTAAGTGGTTGCTGCGGCCCATAGACATCTACATCTATCCTCTGTTACATACATCAAAATGTAGATTCGTTGTCACCCGTGAGGACTAAGATGGAATGCCTCATTTCCAGTAAAAAGGGCCAGTGTATTCTGTGAGAGCGTGGTCTTCGAGGTCGAGCCGACCCAATCGTGCTTCAAGCTTCAACCATAGTATAGCTGCAGCGTGGCTCTACCACGTATACAATTCAAAGCAAAAACTAGCCTTGGTTATATCTAAAGTAACTAAACCACTATGTTATGTATATTAAAGAAAATGTCAGATAAATGTTTATGGTTTCCTGGTAGACGGCGGATAATAATAATGCCTATTTTATAACAACTCGAAACGTACAAACGTTTCCGGCGTGAGCGCCGATCATGGCCACCAACTTAACACAACCAAACGGCGAACGTACGCACATAAATGTTTCTTTCACGGCAAATTGGTAACGATAATTTTAAATATACGAAGTAGTAATATTTATTTAAAATATATTTAAAACCACAAAATTGCTTAACCTACTAAGACTAATTAACTTCAATTCCAGTATACGACAACGTGTTCAAAAAATATTTAGGTTAGACGTACACATTTTCAACCCTGTTGTCAAAATGTACCGTGACCCGTTATTGCAACGAGATTAATGGGAGAAACGACTGATCCCACGTACGCAACGCATGCGATGTAACGCTACCACGTTGGTGTACACACTTGACCCACGTATGCAACGTACGTTTGCCGCGAGACACTTGTCGCTTCATAGCGGACGCACGAGTACAAACGTATAGCATGTTTTCTGATTCTGTGAGCGAGTTTGAGAATATAATTGAGATTTACTTAGTCTGATGTTTATAAAGGAATATATCACACATAAAGAAAAAGATTAAAAAGCGAAGATATTGGGTACATGAAATAAATAAAGAAAGAGAGGAGTTTGGAGAATACCATACATTAGTTAAGGAACTAGAAAATTATGACGAACGAATTTTTCTGTACTTTCGTATAACAAAAGTGCAATTTATTCAAATTATTGAGTGATATAAAAAAAGAAAATACACATTTACGGAAGTCTGTTGGTACCAGAAAAAGACTCGAAGTGTGTAAAATTAAAAACTATTTATTTTCCATTCTTTATATATAGAAATTACGTGTCACGTTGTTTGTTCGCGATGAACTCCTAAACTACTGAACTGATTTCAATGAAATGTTCCACAATGTTGTATATCCTATCTCTCAAGTTTGGTCCAACTTGAGAGATAGGATAGTTTTTATCCCGATAAGTGACCTTCAATTTTTTTTATTGTGAATTTAAGGATTTTTTTAAGACACATGGTCGTCGGAAAGGGTAGAACAACGTCTGCCTGGTCAGCTAGTAACGTATAAAGATTTTCCGTTTTTTTGTGTCTCCTGAAAAATTAGGACGCAATGAATTGCCCTTCTTAAATATATATACGAGTATATTTTAATGGCGTGGGGCAGGATTACGGCTCACAAATGTGTGCGCAAGCACATGTGCACTTTTTATTCCCTCACTCTCATAGTCCGATGGGAAGGTAAACTGACACGAATATAGACAGATCACACTCAGAACCAACGGCTTTGTACGTTCTTCTGAAGCACTGGGGTAATATATCTCAGGGTTGCTATCTACCTGATTTTTGGGCACGATCACACCTATTACTCAAAGGTTAAAGAACTGTCCTTGTTTGAGTGTAGTTTTTTTTTATTTGTTTGCAGGTAGAGACATAATATAGATACTTAAGTAATTTTCTACATGTAATTAAGCACCAAGTTTACATTTAAAATATTTTTTAATATTAAAGGCAAAAAGGCGCCTCACTGTAGTACCAATAATTGGTCATTGAACTTGCTTATTTCGAGCAATGTCTTATCTGTTGTACAGAAACCAATGGTTGACTTGATAAATTCGGAAGCAAATACGTTGTAAATTACGTTATTCCGGTCATTTTCTTGTTTTTTATAATTCCAAATTCAAGCGTTTAGTTTACCCAATAATGTTATAAGTACATTTGTAACATTATTGGGTAAACCTTACGAAATCGATGAGCTGTTAATTTCCAATTTTGGCAACAAAGCTCGTGCACGGTGCAAGGGTCTATTTGTTTGTGACGTGCTACGCGTAAGTTCTAGGAACCACAGAACACCTAGGAACACACTGGTCGTGGTCGTACGCGTGGGATTGCGTACGAACATCCCCTCCACGTTCCCACGCCGACCTAGACATCGCAGGTCGACATTGCGTCGGACGCGTGTGATTGCGTTGCATACGATATGAGTTTCTAATGCATAGGTTTTCATACAAAATCATGAGTCCAGACGTCATAATGCGTTGCATATGTTGCGTACTTGGGTAGTCTTGTTAGATTCACTAAGAAAGGACAATGTACAGAATCGCCCTGTGTAATAAAAGCATTGGACATACACACTAATTAATTGTTTATATTGTTACATTAGTTGCAAATACTTTCATAACACGGACTAGCTGCATGCAAGAATTAACATTAAAAAGTATTCTCTTCGACTAATAACATAAATCGCCGCCATCTTCGCCAAACATCATGTGGTGTCGAAAAATGATTAGGGATGCCCAATTGATTGTAATCGATTTTTGAATTTTTAATGAACCGTTGCATATTTTTTAATCTGAATTACACTTTGAATTTATTTCGAATAAAGTTGCAAAAAGAAGCTACAATAAAAACATTAAATTAGCATTTCTTTATATTCTTTTATATTACTCCCGAAAATTATAATTTAAAAAACCTACTATACCTAATTAATGGGGTCATACTCGATTTTGAATAGGTAGTTAGCATAATTTAAATAAAACTAATTTTACGGATTTTATCGCATATATTAACTTATTTTACATTCCCGACGTTTCAAGCACTTTACAGCACCCATGGTCACAGGGGGGACTTAGGTGTATGACGTGCCAATGTCATAGTTAACCAC